GATCAACTTTCAACTTTGAGAACAGGAGCAACAGATGCAGTGGTGGTGTATTGTGGAGGGTATTAGGGTGAGGGACACCCCAAAATCTCCCCCGCTGCGTGTATGCGTTTGTTTGTGTGAGTGTGACAGCAGGGAGCAGCTCAGCGCAGGACGCTGCACACAGCAAGGGGCCATTAGACATGGTGGGGTGACCCACATAAAAGACACACACACACACACACACACACAGGAGGGATATTTCATCTTTGTTTAACGCTGAAACATTTTTGCTTGGTAAAGCTCCCTGGCTCCGGCCCCTCTCCTCCTCAGACTGATTGAGTCAAACCGGTTGGACGCTGATCTGACAGTCCAATTATAAACGTGTTAACGAAAATAACCACCGTCGTTGTGCGTCGTTGCTTAGCAACCACGTTGTTTTGTTTAGCTACTGCTCCAGAACCGGTGATAAAGCCAGACGGGACATATAAGACAGACAGACCTTTAATATTAAAGAGAATAATGATGTTAAAAAAAAGTAATAATAATAATAAAATAATAATAATAATAATAATAATAATAAACCCATTGTATTGCAGAATGTATACATTTCCATACTAATATATACTCCATTAGTCTATTTAATTTAACCTATTAATTAGCTAAAATCATCAGGCTAAGGCAGGAACATTGTCTAACAATAAGACCTAGCTAGGCTACACTATCATTCCTAAATATATATATATTTTATATCGTAGTTTTGGGGCTATTTTAACACACTTTATCACCCAAAAGCTGAAAGAATAACGCCACAGGCCTGTCTTATAAGAAACCAACAAACTAATTTTTTTCAGGCTCATTATAATAATGAAGTAAGTGAAGTTGGATGCCCTGTTTTTAACCCGCGCTGGTTTCAGGACAGCTGAGGGGGGTTTGAGTCTGTGGTCCCGGTCCAGGCCGCTGGGATCCCTGTGGTCCCGGTCCGGGCCGCTCACTCACTATGCGCGCCTCTTATCTTCCAGATAAGAGGCTGGAGTGTATTAGCTGCCGCCTTGAGTTTAATTACATTGTCAACAGAGAATAATTGTAATTGATTTCTGCTCGTCTTCCGGAGTGCGCTGAACGCACGGATTGCCAGTGCTACACACACACACACACACACACAGACACATATCATGCCAACACATCTAGTTTTGACTCTCATGGGGATGTTTCATTCAAAGAGAGTAGCAGAACATGGTTCGCAGAGCTTTACGCAGCAACACAAGACCACGTGTACACAGGAACCTTTAGATCCGTTTCACCAAGACTGCAGCACGATGCACGACGGACATTTAACATCTGTAATGATTCTTAAAGCGGTTCTGCTCGTTTCTTGATGTTGGTTTCTTACTTTGGATTATTTTTTATAAAAGAGAGACTATATATCTTTGGCATCGCAAATAAAAAAAAAAATATATAAGCTATATCATTTTTATTTGTGTGTGTAAACCAGACTAAATCCTGATCTAGAGGCTGAACTAACCGCCTCGCGGAGGGCTTTCTGGGTGTCTCGTTAATTACACAAGCTCGTGTAATTAATTGATCACTCCCACTGTCGCCTGAGTGATAAGAAGCCGCATCCATCTGAAGCGCCTGAACAGCAGTGATTCAGCGGAGGAGGTCATCCAGAGGCCCAGGGCACCCATCATCATCATCATCACCATCATCATCATCACCACCATCAGTCCTGGCTGCCGGAGCCTTCACACTTGTCTTAATTGCTAATAATAATGGCTGCTATTGGATGGTGTCTGGTCTGTTCATGCAACTATTTCGTTTTAAAATAAGAGTATGATGAAAATTCCTGCATCCTTGTGGGTTTTTTTCTCAGTTTAGGTTACAACTTAGTTTTCAAAAGGTGTTCTGAGGAGGCCAATATGTTCCAGAGAAAATCCCTAAATAAATGTGCTGTAGGTGCACTACTACAAACTACTAATCTAAAAACAAATTAGGGTTACAAAAACAAAAGCTGCAAATATTTCAGACGTTTTATATGATAAATGAGAATAATGTTCCTTAATGCTTAAGCTATGACGCACAATAGGTTTACAAAATCCACCAGGTATGAAAATGGGTTGGCTTATTAAAAGCACAGTACAAAATAAACTTTCAGTCCAAATTCTTGTGGGTTATATCAAAAGGACACCAGGAACAGGATGGTGCTGCAGTATATTGAGCAGGTTAAGGCTTTCAGAAAGTCTGTGTAGATTCATCTCACTCATCCAGGTAGAACAACATCGGCTGGAAAATGAAACTATTCAATGGACTGTGGCTGAGGAGTTGACAAGAAATGTAAGATACAACTACTGCAGTTTCTCTTCAAGCAAACTTTCAAAAACATGCACACATCTTTTCGTGCACAGCCTTGTACTTGTGAGCATATGCCCTATTTGATGTCAGCACGCAGACCAGACTATATTAATATAATGGCAGAAAGGACACAGAAGCAGTAGAAATACATCAGAAGAGGGTGACTGTCAAATCACCAATGAGACAGGCAGCCAGCCCCACTGTCTGCTCCTCCTCCTCACAGATGACTACACTTTCTCAGAGTCTGGGATTCATCATCTCAGGCGGAGAAGGAAGGAAAAATCTTTAATTGTAAGCAGAGCTGTTCAATGAAGTATGTAAAGAGGCTTCAGTCAGCCTTTTTAAAGCTTAAATTCATTTCGCATTGTCCCAGTAAACTCACGGAAGATGGATGATGGCCCTGGTGAGATCTCACGCAGCTCAAAGTAGGACAATAAGGAGGAGAGTATGGAGGGAAATTAAGAGAAATACTTGGCTCTTTAACAAAGAGCTGGCAGCCAGTTCCTCTTTGTGTTTTTTCTTTTGTTGGACATTTTGATCAGGCAGGGACATGTGTGAGTATCAGTGCACGATGAGGGTGGTTTGTGCAGTCCTGAACACATTTAGGGTTAAAACTGGGCTGTTTTTCAGACATCTAGCTTACACATACATGTTTCCAAAATGTACATAACTGCATTTAAATGTGTAGTTGGGACCTGCTTCTCATTGAAACATTGAAACAAGGATTATATTTAACCTAGACACACACAAATCACAAAACCAATACATACTGACGTTTAATCATGTTACTTATGCTTAATAAAACACACTCACGAGGAGAAAATCTCATTAGGTTTTTTATTACAAGGCACAGAAACAATCCTTACATCACTTCAACATCAAAACCAAGAGTTTAATTCCACCCTGCTCCCACATGCTGTGAATGCATGGATGGTCAATAAAAATGGATGTTGTACCACGGCACGGCTGAGGCTATTGCAGGCTGTAAGTCTGCTTCCTGTCTCGGAGGTCAAGGGTGACCAACAGTGAGCGAGGGTCCTTCTTGTTTTTACGCACAGTGATTTTTCCCCGGAGCTCCTCCCCTGAAGAAAGGAGAGAGAAACACCAATATCAGTGCACAATTTGTTTCACATTGGAGACAGGTAGCTACTTCACAGGAGAGTCCCTCCTCCTCCTCCTCCTCTGTGTTTGAAGGTGTGATAATCAATGAAACCAGCTGCTGTGGGGTTTAGTTCTGGGGTTTTGGCACACAGTCACCCATCTCTGCTGTGTGTCTAAACGTTCACTTTGAACAGCTAGAAAGAAACGTTAGACACAAGAGGTTTTAGCAAACGTTTCTCAAACGAGACTAAGTAGAACATTAGTTGGGGACTATTTTCAGATGTGGATTGATTACACATTTTTATTAAATTTTTAAAATATATAAGATTTAATAGTATTTTTACGGCAGCACCCAGTGTCAACAGTGAGGCTCACTGATGTTTCTATGATTAAGAATTTAAAAAATTCCCCTCCTTAGAAACCGGTTGCATTTGTTAGGAAAGCAATTATGTATGTGAACTATTTTCCCAACAAGTTGTTTAAAATTAAGTGGATTTAGTTTTTGTTCAACTTCTAGGAAGTTCAAGTAAATAAAACTGTTATTCATTTGATTTCCCACTGATAACATCCTCAGTATATCAGGGCCGTAACTTCTACGCCTCCACATCAGACAAAAAATGCACAGAAAACTATTTGACCCAGTCAGGCATTGATGAGTGTGTTCATAAGAAAAGAGAAATGAATAACTGCTCATAAAAAGTAATCTTCCTGACGCCCTGCAGCAGTACAGAGCTGCTGAGCTCAGGCCTCTGCAGTATGAGTGGAGTCACACAGGCGCTTCTAGAAATGATGATGTGCGTTTAAAGGCAGCGTGGTTTAATATAAGTTAATAAGCAAGATTGTGTGTGAGTATGAACGCAGACCCGCTGAAACCTCCAGATGGCAGCGAGAAGGAAGTGCATTTACAGTACGACGCACGAGCAAACGGGACGCCGGGAGAAGAGGCGGATGATTATGACGCATAATCACTCTGATTAACTTCACGTTTGACTGCTGGAGGTAAATGAATGTTTATCCACACGGCAAACAAGCATCCCCCCCCCCCCCCACCAAACACCTCCTCTCTGTGCTACGCGCTCCTCATTGCTGGAGGCTAGAGGAGGACGAGGAGAGAAAATGCTGACTGTGGTGCTTTCTCCACTGAAGCGTCCGCCATCGCTGCTGTCACGTCTCACTCGTTACCATGCCAACACCGCTGTCTCTTTGCTGCTGGCGCCGCACTCTGGGTCTGTCACTCCACTGCAGAGAGGGCAGACGGACGCAGTGTTTGCTCTGTGGCTGCTGTTCTAAAAGCAGATGTGTAACAAATGAAGAGGAGCTAACCTCTGCAATTGTAAAGGGAAATGTTGGGGAGGAGCAACTTTGCAGGAAACTTATGTAAACTGTTCAACCTTTATTAATAAAGCACTTTTCAAAATAATGTTACAAAGTGCTGTGCTGAATTTAAAGACAACAAATAACCAAACCAAAAACATACGCACATGTGCAAATAACGCAGTTGCACTCTCCATGACTCTGATCTTATCAGGACAGAAAATATAAAAGTGGACTCCAAAGACTGGTCAGGCAGCTTGTTCCAAAGCCTCAGCATGATCCCCTTTAGTCCTCATTCTGGACACTGGAACTGTTGAGAGGAACCTACCCAAAGACCTCAGGCTGTGATCCACTTTGAGGAATTAGCAGTTCTGAAATATAACTAGGAGCCAAGCAATGGCATGCCTTGAGGGTAATTAGAAAACTATTAAAATCAATCTTAAAACACACTGTTCAATGTAAAGTTGAAAGAAAGAGGGTAATGTGACATCTTCTAGTTGTATTAAGGAGCCTAGCTGCAGAATGAACTGTCTTTAGGCAAGTGAAGAAGAAAGAAGTCATGATTTTTTGCATGTATGTCATACATTCTTGAAGCATGACCAGACAACAGAATTAATTTGAGAATCAAAGTTAAGGTCCTGATCAAACAGAATGATTCGATTTCTGGCTTTTATGTACAGTATAACTGGGAAGTGTTGACCCAGCTTTTTACTCTGGCTAACAAACAGAAATGTTGCAGGCTGGAAAAAGATGGAGCTCATAATAGAAATCTAAAAGATGCTGTCTGCCTGCACTCCATCACCAACTTAATGAAATGGATCAGTGGATGCCAGATAACCCAACTGTAACAGAGAAGGGCGCTAACACACATGCTTGGTTTGTGTTTTCTGTGGGGTTAAACACCGGTGATGTGTGATCTGTGTGTATCTGTCTACAGGATCCTTCCGCCTGACTCAAATATTAGATGAACGACAATCTAGCCCGGCTCCATTTCTAGATGTATTCCCTTCAATGTCTATAAACACAAGGATTCCCCAGAACACAACACAAAAAAATTAAAAACATCATCTTTGCTTTCATTTATTTTATGGGAAATTACACAAGGAGCCCCAATTTGTGGTAACAGCAACAGGGCCTGATGCTCATGGGAGGCAGCGGACAGCTGCAGTCAAACTCAAGTTGGCAAAAGGCTGATTAAAGGTCAAAGGAATAATTGCTTGATCTTTAGTGACCTTCTGTTAAAAACACAAGAGGAGGCCGACAGACCTCTGTCCCCAAATAACTGTGCAGAAACTGTCCCACTAATCCCTCATGTTTCAAATGAAACTATGGAAACATACAAACGGAACCGAAGGAGCTAATGTCTGTTCAGTTGCAGTGCGACTACAGCAGCTCTGCTGTAATCAGTCAGACCAAACTCCCCATGGAAGAGGGCCTCAGTGCCTTCAGTAAACTGGCCACTCAGATGCTGGGAGAAAGAGTTAACCATGTGTGGAAATGAGTCACGGAATGGAGCTGCGATGTCGTACATCAACATGCCAGTGTCATTAAGCACAACCGGGCCCACGGAAACAGCCTCTCTCAGCCCAACGCAGCCTTTCTCCATGAAATTACACTGGAAATACACGGATCGCATTAGTGATTCATTTAAACTGTTGTCATTTACATTTTGACCATTAAGCTCACACTCCTACTGTATCTGCAACTCCTTACAGTGGGTCTGCCATCTAAATACTAAAAGCATTTGGGCGATCTCTTTTATATATATATATATATATATATATGATCTACATTCATTTAATCTGTCTTTTCTTCTTAGCTCTTTCCTGTCTAGTGCAGAGCCCAGAAGCAGAGCTGCTGGGTTGTATATCCTAAACACAAATCTGTAGACACAAAACCAGCCCGCGTGTTGAATTACAGCCCTGAAGAACTTAAAGCTTGGCTCAGCCACTGCTGTTGGACAGCTCAAGGACCTTCAGAGTTCAAACAAGAGGGGGGATGAGGAGGGGGAGAGTTGTTTAAACCGAGTCTGGACAGGTGAGGGCGGGGGGAAAGAGGAGATTTGGAAGAGGTACAGCACCTCTCGGGACAGAGGAGGTGAGTCATGAAAGTGGGTGGGAACAAAAACCACCTGACTGTCCAATGAAAGTGCAAGAACAAGAGCCCATGCTTCAGCTGCTCTGAGTGGCCCTCGGCGCAGGTAACCAGGCCACCGCCTCACTCAAGGATTATGGGACTTTCTTTCAAAAAAAAAAGTGTGACCTCCTTTCTCTGGTAAACATTAAGTAGGTAAAACTGTGAAAAAGGACCCTCCTCTTCAATACTCGAGCTACACAAACACACCAGAGCATGACAAATGATTCGCTGTTTAATTTATTACGCTGCCAGCCAGGAGGATTTGCAGGGATGTTTTGTTCCAGCCTGCTGCGTGCCTTCTCTCTCTTCCGCCGGCACCTCCCACAGAAGCGCAGCCTCAGAGTTAATTACTGCTGCACTCGTACAAACACATCAAATAGGATTCGGTCTCTGCCACGATAAATCACCACAGACAGTCGGTATTAAAACAAACCACTGGATGTTTATGCCCGGCCCTCACTATAGCCGATCAGAGCTGAAGGTGCTTCTCAGTCAACACCCAGGAGGAGAGGCCACTGTGTGTGTGTGTGTGTAAGACAGAGTTTCGTCATCTTCAAGGTGACTTTAGGAAGTTTTCTCTTATGGCCAGAGAGTTTAGTATAGAAGTATGCAAGTACTCCAGTGAAAAGTGTGTTGTAAAGTACACCAAAGGAGTCTAGCAGGAAGGTAGTGAATGCTGTTAAAAACTCAATTTCTGGTTTACGGCCCCTGGAGGAGGCTGGGGACTGTCAGGGTGCCGGGGTGGAGCGAGCACATCAATAACCTGCCGCTCACTCCCGCCTTCATTCTGTTCTTTCTTTAAACTTTTCCTCCTCACTCACCGCTTGGCTCACATATAAAGCACACACCAAGAATGGATCTTTATAGCCTCCGTGTCAGTTTAACATAGACTCAACGGCTGGCTCTGGGCTCTGAGGCTGTGAATATGTGTGTGTTTACATGTGGGTGTGTGTGTCAGGGCTAATGCTGTAACATGTCACTATGCCCCTGAGTAACCCCAAGAGCCCAGATGCTCTGCTGACTATAAAATCAGGCAAGGTTAAAAAAAGAGACTGAGAGAGAAAGAGAGAGATAGTGTGATAGTTTGTGTGTAAGGGAGGGGAAGAAAATTTCAATGTTTACCATTTTTTTAGACAGCACTTGAAACAATTAGACCTGAATCCATATCAAGATCTTTATTATATAAGAACCAGACTAGTTTAAAGACTAAATTCAGCAAAACAAATGATTGGGCTATCATTAGTAGCTTCCCAATAATGGGAATCGAATTGCAAAGTTTGTTCTCAAGGTGTTGCTAGAGGGTCATGGGACATTTAAAATAAAAATTGTTGAAAAAAGTCCAATTCCATTCCAATATGAAATATGAAATATTAGCAGCACTCAGAGAAATAGATGGGGTACACCTAGACAGGTCACCATCCTATCACTAACACCATTCACACTTAAATTCACACCTACTGGCACTTTAGTGTTTCATATTCACCTAACCTGAATGGCTTAAAAGTGCTGGTGGAAACCAGAGCACCTGGAAGAAATCCATAGAGACACAGGGAGAAAATGGATAGTAGATAGAGTTCATCTTCTTGGGCTCAGTGAATATCACGGTTATCTGCCCATGAGATGTTAATATTTCTGTTTATAGGTTGTCTTTTATATGCTTAAATAGTAATTTTGATCTGATGTTGGCACGGGAGAAACATTTATTGGGGTCACAGAAATGGGATGATTCATCCAGCTGGGACCATGAATATTGACAGCAAAGGTAAGGGAACTCCTGTCTTTAGTTTTCTAGATGCTGCTCTGAATCTGGTGGCTGTGAAGGCCAAAGCAAATTATCCACGTCATTCTTATCAAACCCTATAGTGCCTCCTCGTGCCATGTATGGGAGCCTCTGCTTTCATTGTTTCTCTGCTCATTTATTCTATTTTTTTCTGTTAATTTGTCGGCTGTACACAGAAACATATACAAAGACACGCAGGTGTACGCAAAATGAAACAGGGAAAGGAGGCCGACATTCTGCACCAGATACTCAACATCTGTCTCCGTTTCCCACTTCTGTACTGTGTTAACATACTGTCGTCCTCAGCTCTCAGATTCAGCGGTTTATCTGACCTAGTGGAGCACGAAGCCTGCGATAGCATTTGAGCAGCGTCAGACGTTTTGACGTTCTTATCGTCCTGGCTGGCTCCGGCGAGGGCTGAGCCTGGCTAAGGGCCGCCTGACATCTAGCGCCTCCTTCTCTCCGCAGGTCATTTATTACAGTAGACTCCATCTAATATCTGGTCAGCGAATGGACAGCCGGTCCCGAGGCTCATCCATCCCCAAATCAGCAGACACATCCGCGATTACCATTATGATAACGCGCACAGAGGGCCAGAGCTTACAGCAGAAATAAAAACAGGATCATTCACACAAAATGTATAATGAGTGAGCATGTGGAGAACACTGAGAGGTAATGACTATACATTTTTGCTATGATGACAGATTCATAACACCAGTACGGATAACAAAAGAGATTTGTCCTGTATTTAGTTAATTAAAGCTTCTTCATTTACTGATCTACACCACACAGGCTCAGAAAGGTCCTTCCTGGGATAAAGTCTTTGGCACACTTGATGTAGTGCATTTATGTTTCCATTTCCTTTGGAATAAAAAGATGCAGAACTTGGTAGTGAGTATTAGTAGTGTGAAAGGTCTCCAAGATGAAAGTCTGCTACTTTTTACTTTGGTTTGATGGCCTTCCCATTAAACTGAGACTACGTAAAATTAACTACATAAACAGAAAGACAATGGTAAATGCTAAAACACAGTTTAACAGTAGCACAAGCTGATTAGAATTTGTTTGCTAACATTAGCCACCATAAGCTAGTACCAGACCAAGTAAGGCTGAGGTAGAAAAGCCGTTCAGTTTATTGAACTGAGCAAGGATGCTTTTTTATTGCTAATGAGAAGTTAAATTCACTTTTCACTGGTAAGAGGTTTTAAAAGTTACACAGTCTCACTTTACACACTTTACATTAGCAGATACAGTGCAGTGTGTCAATATAGAACAAGTGTTTTTGGTTACTGTGATATCTTTAGAGCGTACTTGTTTATATGTTTGGTAGCTGTTGGCAGTCTTAAGACAGTGTACAGTGTGAAAGTAGCCTACAGGCCAACGGCAAGTGTAAGAGTCCTGATATACACCACAATAGATGTTCATGTGCAGCTGGTGCACCTGGAGGCACGCACAGTCACACATTTTGGGCTCACTGATATCTCATCATAAAACAAAAGAATGGCCTGTAATACTCTGGTTAAGTGTGAAAGATTCTTCAAAACTTGAATATATATTATTTCTTTTGTTGATATATAGTTATTATATCAATTTGCATTGGTAATGTGGTGACCAGCGACAGTAAGGTGATCTTCACAAAAAGCAACATAAGAAGCTCTGTGACGTTGGAGTTTGAACCTGAAGTTATTTCAGAAAACATCCAGCTCCGCCGTCCCGCAAGGTGCACCAGTTAATAAAACTTTAATCTGCTGATACAGTGATTCTATAAATATTTCACTGGTCAGTTACAAAGCACTCCTCTTGTAACATGTCATGATTCAGAGGCCTGCAACCAGCTATCAGATGAAGTTTTACATGCTGTCTCTGATGGCTGAGTGTGATTTGTTTTGATCCCTCGCTGTCTCTGTGGGTGACAGATAACGGGTGTCAACCAGCCTGACTACATCTCCACCACAGACAGATTACCTGCCGCAGCTCGCTATGACGCACCGCCGAGGTCCACGGGAGGAAAGTGAAATCGTGAAAGAAAATCAACACATACAACACAAACCTAAATAAAACAAAACTGAACTTAACCACATGTGTAAACTCTTGTTGGCAGAAGAATATGTAAATGACAGCTGACAAAAGTACAACATCTTGTTCATGTAAATAAAAAACTGTGCTGCAGAGTGTTTCCTTGCTATGTTGTGGTCTGTGTGGCTACTGACCTGCTTGGACAGAGACAGGCCTGTCCAGTAGGAAGACAGTCTGTTTCCAGTGTGTCTTGGTGACCTGAGGACCCGTGGAGAACATCACCTGGCGTGATAATACGTGAAAAGAAAAAAAGACATGAAAACCAGTGCTGTTAATTCTCTCTAGAGCACTTTGTCATGTTGAAATATTTTGCAAAAACAAAAGATATTTGGATACTTAAGGATATAAAATCCGTTTATAAATCAGTTTAAACCACTTTACTACTTAAAAAGAAATCAGTGAGCTTTAATTTTAGCCGAAAACCGTAGAGATTAATAAATCTGGAATGATACCAGCATAATTGCTACATTCTCAAACACAAGGAAAAGTAACTGGAGGTTCTGAAGGAGTGTTGTATATTAAAATTAAAATAAAGATTAAAATAACGCTGCACAAAAGCATAGAATATTATATAGCTTAGGCTGTATTATAAATACAACTGCACTGTATTTATGAAGCAAACAGATAATCCCATGTTACATTGTCCAGCCTTGGCTCCCAGTGGAGATGGAAATTTACTGGACTATCCGTAGCATGCAGTTTGAGTTTCAGGTACAATAGGAAGTGCATGTCTATGTTGCTCACAGAGCTTGGCATCGGCTGTTCCAACTGGCCGGCTCTGCTGGGTAAGTGCTTATATCAGCAGTCGGCTAGGACGCCCGTCGATTGCCAACGAACGCCTCAGGGAGGAGGAACACGCTAAAGCGTGAACATAATTGAGTTTCCGTTAAATGGTTTGGCTGTTGCCACTGCTGCTTACCTTGTTGCTGCAGCCTTTGTCAAAGAAAATGTCAAAGTAGCCGACAATTGCCTGCAATGAAATATGAGGGGCGTGTTAGAATGTGACAGTACAATAAACCCCTGGATTTGTTTGACTACACTGCAACTCTGACAGGCACAGTTGAGAGAGGCAGGAGGCAAGTCTCAAGGTTTTAATGAGCAAAATAAGCTAAACGAGCTGCTGTGTTTAGGAGAAAGGCAGTAAAAACAAACTGGGAACAAAATTTACTATTCAAATATTTACAGTTATCTTCACAGTACTTCTTATTTAAAGCGTTACCTTAAAGGAGACATAAGAATTCAGATTATTTTCCTTGCCATGCTTACCATGTCATTGTTGTGTATGTATGTGTGCGTGAGTGTGTGTGTGTGTGTGTGGTCTGGAGAACTGTACAGGCCACCCCTGTTACAGATAGAGTGAGTATTGATATTACTCTGAGAACATTTCCTTCACCCTTCCTTCCTCTCAAAACCAACTTGGTTTCTCATTTAGGCTGAGTCAACAACAGCTCCCAGGTGCACCCTCTCACCTCATCTGGGAGACTTGTCACTGGACAAAAGAAATAAATTATGGTGCTGCCGCCAACAACATCGAGTCAATTTTGCTGACAATAATAATAAAAAATAAAAAAAACAGCTTGGTATATGAAATTAGCAAAGGTGGCTATTTTGGTGACAGTGTTGCTGCAATGTGAAAACACTGAGGAGGAATCTGTTCAGGAAAATAAACTGGATATGAGTGTGTGTTCATCTGAATAATTCCTAACAAGGGAAAGGAAATTAGACAATTGACAAATCTCTGCTCTCAGTGAGTCCATTATTATGTTGATAAGACCAAAGCAGAATAACCTAGCCAGTCGGAAGCTTCATTAAAGCTTTTTTTTAGGTCTTAGATGTGACTAGAAATGACTTCTTTCCCTTCGGATTGAATTTTAAATTCACTTAAAGCTTTCACGGAAATGTAGATTTTCTTTAAAAATATTCTGTCTGCGTTGGAAGGATATACAGAGCTATAAACACGATTGAGTGAAAACCAATTCACACATCTAAAACACACTGAGGGAAAGTCCATGGCCAGAGTGCCTGTAGGTGACCGTTGTCAGATATGTGAGGTAAAAACCACCCCCCAGGCTTGTTTTCCTCCCATTTCTCCCCCCACTGGAGGAAGAGAGGCACTCTATCAATCTCAGGCACGCACTTGTAGTGGCAATGATGCAGAACTAATAGCTTTTAATCCTGACGCAGCTGACAACTTGGAGGCCAGCTCTCTGAGACAAAGAAGAGCTGAATCAATGCAAGAGAGGGAAAGAGGAAAACAGAAGGACAGAAGAGGGGAAAGGAGGAGAGAGAGGTAAAGACAGAAAAACAGAAAGAAGGGAGGGAAGAAGCAAGAGAGGGAGAGTGGCTGTAACATAATGTAAAAGCTGGGGAGGAGGTTTCTTTTTTTACAGGGTTTTATTGGTTTGCATCACTTGGAGAAGCAAAATACAGCACCATCTGTTCACAGCGTCTGCAAAAGTCACCCAAATTGTATTTAAATAATTGTTGCAAGTAAGACTGGCTAAAAAGATCTTTCATCCATTATGCACTCATATACAGTACACACATGCAGACCTGGAAATCATGATGCCGTCAGAAGTTGTGTTCAACACGCAGCCCGCACCGAGGCTTCAATCAACCTTTATCGACTCAGACAGGCAGGGGCGGCACCACTAGCTCACAGCTAAACCGCCAGAAAAGAACCCAAAGTGGATAAAAGAGCATGTCAACCCAATGCAATTATGGCTTTTAATGAACGCTACAGAGACGCTCGGTGCTGAGGTAATTAGGAAATTAGCCATAATTACTCGTCAGGCAGAGCAGATTCACCTCTCTCAGTCGGAGAGGCAGAGATCATCCTCATCGCGCCTCGCTGATGACAACGCCTCGTAAGCGAGATTGATTGTCACTTCTGCGTTGTGCAACTTTCACACTGCAGCGAGACGGGCAATTAAAATTTAGGCCACAGAGTGAAACTTGCAAATACCAAAAAACCAGCAGAGAAGCTCGGCGCCTTGCTGCCCCATTAAAATCACATTTGAAAGAAAAGAAAAAAGAGACTGTAACTGCCTCATCCATGAAACACAAAAGATGTGAAAGTGTTAAGATAAGCAATAAAGACCCTGATGACTCACACCTGATATGGACTGTACCAAGCCCAGCTGATCACAGGCTTTTAATGCTTTGTGATTTAAACCGGGGTGAGGGAAGAGAGAGTTCATCAAACTCCTTGGGGCCTTTTGAGGGTACTTAATGATAGCTTTTACGACACCCAATAAAAAAGGTTTGGCAAGATTCAAACTTTCACTGGAGGACTGAAAACTGTTATTCAACTTGACTGATATCAGACAGAAGTGGAAACTAGTTAGACTCCATTTCCATTTCAGTCTGACATTGCCTCTACTCTAACCACTTTGTGTAGGAGAGGGAATCGATCCTCCCTAACCGATCACTACAGACCAAAGTATCCGTATGAATCTAACATCATTTTAAGTCAACACAATGCGTAGCCATGCCAACATACTGGTTTTACTGGGGTTTTAACAGTAAAAACAATCTACGATGTTGGGCCACATTGAGAACTGTCTATGAACATCCTCAATAGCAATGTCTGTCTTGTCTATAGCAGTCGTCATTGTTATTATTACTCCTCCTTGGTTCCAGCGCACAGCTTGACAACACTTGACAACAGCTTGACAGCGGCGTTAGTTCTGCCCGTAGTGATGATTGGCTAATTGTTAGTACCCCCGCTGCGCTCGTTGGATCGATACTTTTTCAACAGAGCAAATGCTGTTTCATGTCATGATGCCAGACCAGAATCAGTCAGATCGGTGGAGTGGGTAGATTCAAAGGTCTGGACGCAGGCAGGTTACTCAACAGTAAAAAGAGGTTTTTGTTCCCGTTCATCTGAAGCCACCGTCACTTGATAGGAATTAAAACACCTTTAAAATATAATCCAAATAAGTTGATAGATACACACCCTTCAACATATCACAGTTTATATGTTAGCAAACAGTTGTGTATATACACATCCATCAGACACAGAGCAACATTAGCATTTAGAGTCATGTGTCTGTCCACTATTGAATCTTGCTTTTAGCCCTGGTTTAGTCGTTCGTAACTCCTGAGAATATCAGGCTCTTGCACTGCTAAATGTTCCACTTTGTTCACCAGGTATTTGCTAACTTTGTCTGCTGTTTGGTGCTGAGCAGGCAGTGGACAGTGGCTTATTAGAGCTTGCTTGCTTAAAACAGCTGCCTGAAATTAGAGGAGTGATGAATCTGAACAAAATGTGTAAAGTAAAAAAGTAAATGTGCTGTATAACCAAAACAATGAGCTTAAAGAGACTAAAACTCTCAAGAGATGCAGAGTTTTGATCAACCTCACACAAAGTGGTCATTTGATTTAATCTTAATAGCAAAAATTAAATATTGATCTCGTGCTTAAATCAAAATAAATGTACCCTCACATACTTGTGATGTTTGAGATTTATGTTCCATTTAATCATGTTAATTAAACTCCCTGCCATTATGTTGTATCTAAGAATTTTTTTAATCCCTGCCAGATTAAAGCCTCTGTATTCCAGCACAAGGGGTGAGAAGAGAGGGAGGGTTGAGGATGCAATAGAGACAGACAGAGAGAGAAGAAAGGCCAAGGAAATGAAAGGGTGAACTTAAAAACATCGAGCCACATACTACACCCACACACCAAAAAACAGGACAAATCAGAATGAGTGCTTTTCATTTTCATCAGCGCTTAGCCTTGGGCCCCGGCTCTGTCTGTGATAAGTGATGATAGTGGGCTCCATGACGGCCCACGGAGGAGGCTCTGCAACACTGCAGCTCTCCGGCCCCCATTCTCCGGGAAGAGCGGGGGGAAAATTAATAATTATCATCATGGATAACACCAACAGGGAGCAATTCATCATCGCTCCCCTTTCGCCCGGCTGTGTGTCAGCGAGCCGCGTGGCCCGGCCAGATACTATTATACAACGGTGGGGGGACGCAGGGAGTGGGGGCTGAGGGGAGGGAAAGGGAGGAGCGCTGAAGGGGAGGGAGGGAGGGGGTGGGAGAAGTGAGAGCTAATGCGCTTTTGATGGGGTTTATCCAGGCGTGGAGGCTTCAAGCACGACCACCTCACAGGCGGGTTGGTGTGAATCCCCCACTCCCCCCCATCTCTCCTCTCAGCCTACCCGACTGCTGCCACTCCAGTGAGGTGGAGCACGAGTCAGCCTTGGCTGCAGCACACCTCCAGCCAGCGTTCCTCATGCTCATGATGCCTCTCAGAGATAAACACACAAACAACTGTGCTGTAACCGTTAGAGAAGGTCCAGATTCACGCTGTGCCAAACGGACTGTGGGTAGCTGAGCTTTGTTCAGGTAATCTCAAGGATCTCAACGAATAAAAAAAAAACCCTGAACACAGTTAAGTTCAAGGTAGGTGATGGCAGAGAGGCAGCATGTGCAGGATCAACATATACAAACTAATTTTACTTTTTGTCAATCTGGGTTTGTTTTTTCCTTTATTTTATGACTATTGGTTACAGTACATTTTTACTCACTTCTGTTGTCAAGATTTGGAAAACTCTCATCATCAAACCTTTGAGTGTTACCGAAAATAAACCAATTCCTGTAGCAGATGTTTTCATTTTTGGTTAGGTAACTGGCAATAATTACGATTACGTTAGATGCAGTTTAGTTTAATCAATATATTTATTTGGTATGCTTAAATTCAAGTGTTTGTTTCTTTTGTTTCTTGTTTTCTTTGACATCATAGTTTTCTCCAAGGCCCACTTCCTAACTGGGAATCGTGGTCTCACGTAGCCTTCAAGCACCCCTCTTCCACCAGGTTCTGACAATGTTAAATGTCATGATCAATACATTAATTTCAATGTTAAAAAACTAGAGAAGAGCAAGCTCACCCTCATATGTGCCTATACTGTAATACCGTATCAATAATATGGGTTGTTCACTGCTTCCAGGGGGGTACCTTTGATGATTATTATGGAAATGAATTTCATGTTAACCACTGTCCCTCTCAGTGACTGCTCACAATGCCTTCATACAACCTTCAACTGATGTGGCTCATATGGATCAGAGGGTGATAAAAAAAGAGTTTTTCTATTACAGAAAAATTCCACCCCTTGTTCAAAAGATACCTATGTCTCTTCTGTGATGGATTTCTTTGACTGGTCTCTTAAGCTGCAGTTCATTTAGTTTCCACCAGATGCTGGCTCCTAAATCCTTCAACAATATATTTGGGAAAATCCTCAGACTCCTCTGTTGATAAAAATGTAGTACTTGGAATTGACAATTAAAAGAGTACTCCGCTAAGTTTGCACTGCTTTTGTCTGACTCTCAATTGAGTTAAAAAAAGGGATCAAGAGATATCTGTTTCACATTCCTTGTCAAAACCTGAAGCTTACATTACCCACAATGCAATTAGACTGTTGAAAGTTTGGTTGAAGATTAGGGTGCATTATGCTAGTAGCAGCTAATGTAAAGCAAAGATGAAGGGCGGGCTACAGATGTGATAACATCACTTCTTTCTAACTACACACCAAGTTTTTAGTTATTTTTTTAAACTTGTAGTCTTCAGACTCAAGTGACATCACTTGAGCCACTTTTTTAATCAGATTTTATTTTGTAATAATAATACATTTTATGTAGCAAGTTTCAATGTTACAAAGTTCTTTAAAAAGGAAAAACTAATTTAAAACAAATCCGCACCACCATTAAATATAATCCAGTGAATAAAAGTACGTGGATTAGTACTCCCCAAGACCTGTGAACAGACATTGATCTGTAAAATCAGAGCACCACACAGCCTTATGTTGACATAATTCAGTTCGTTGATATTCAACTGGAAATAGTCTGCTAACACAAGTCTTGCTGACAGCCAGCTGTTACCGCAGCTATGAATGCCATGTACTGATACACTAGTGAGAGTTAAAGAGTGGATTTTTCCATTAACAATTCCCTTCTTAATGTGATGAAAATCGTCCTTGAAGTTGACGAGTGCCTGCCCTGTCAGTCCGGAAGGCCATTCCCCCCCCACCCACAATTTAAATTTGATGGAAAGCAGTTCAGAGATGGATTGCAGAGACATTTTTCTCTGTAGCGCTACAGTAGCTACATCAGCAGCGGTGAGACAGCACCGTTAAATTAATTACAGACAGAAACTTATTCTCCCCTGCTTCACCATCAGCATACATCATTTTCAGCCTTTAGGAGGGGATAAGAGGCATTTTTGCTTGCTGTTCTACAGTTCAGGTAAATGTATCATGGAGATGTAAGGGCTAAAACAAAAAAGGAGAGGAAATATATGCCCTCAGAGCATTCCTGAACCAAGTTTTAATAAAAGTTTCAGCCCATATATATTATATATGGCTTCACGGTTTGCAAAGGCAGACACGATGTACACAAGGCGCAGAGCGTGTGAGATGTAAAAGGGAGGCAAGGGAGGCAAGGAAAGGAGTGATAAAAAAAGCAAGAGTGAGAGGATTTGTCTTGTGCGTGAACGGCGCAGACGCAGGGGTTGTGCTGTTCATTTAATGCAAGGTTAGGCAGGCTGAGCTGATGAATGGACTGTCGACAGGAGAACAAAAGCAGGCGCTCCATCACAGGACAGGAAGCACGGCAGCTCTCCCTCACCGATCCCCGAGCACTGGTCCAGGAGCGGTTTACCCTTCACACATCCTAACCTTAACTAGTACTAAGGAGCCGCAGCCAATACTGACTACAGATCAGTATCTTTATCGCAACACCACCCTACTCCTGCAGGTCAATAATCCATCTGTAAATCCCGGGACAAGCAGGCTGGACTGCAAGGAGGCGAGTATCTACAACATGTACCAGTGATAAATTCTACAGTATACAAAGTACCTGCATTATAAAAGCCAGTACGAGTCTGATAGCATGACTGAATGATAAATCTTATACATGAGATACAAGACACAAACTGTATGTATGCTCTTGCGTATCAGCACACCAACCAAGGATGATCTGACGCCTGAAATAACTGTAAGAAAGCAGAGGAAAGGTAGTTGTGCACCTAAAAACCTAACAAAACAAAAATGAAATGTAAAATTATACCTCTGAATGATCTCACCATCTGTTTTTCCCAAGCTGACCCTCTAACATGACTGGACTTACATCCTAGAAAAACTGGATGTTTTCAATTATAGAGCAGAAAAGACAGGAAAAATGAGAGGATGTTTACAAATCTCATTAAATTCACCAGTCTTACCCAGGGAGCATAGGCCAGATAATAACCACTTATTGATTATCCATTAAACCAATACACCAGACAGTGCAGTAACACTGCAGCACAACACCAAGCTGCTCCAACACAATGAGCTTTTTTTTTTACAGACAGATTACTTCTCACAGTACAGAGCGTCAGAGCCTGCAGTAGTGACGCTGTTCTGTAGTCGGCAGGTTGCTGGTACCACAGAGAGAGAGATGGAGCTCACACTGGGGGGAGTTCAGGGGAAGTGGCTGGGGGTTGATGGTGACTGCCAGCCCCTTACCAAATAGAATCATAAACCATTCTCTATGCTCTGGCGCCTGTAGCTGACCCTCACTGCGGACACACACTTCAGGTTTGTGTTGTGGTTGTTGGTCAAGCTGACCTACACCCCACAACTCAAAGGTTGAGCTAGGTTTCAGATGAGTCACGTGATGTCTTGCATGGGTATCATTATTTATGACTTAAAATAATGTGTTTAAATAATAGTAAAATTTTGTTGAATGTAGTTTTAACCCTCTGTTCTGTTCGTTTGTGCACCTAAATTATTAATCTGAGCACAAACTGATACAATATATATTTTTTCGAACCTAAATGGAAAGGTATTGCCGCTGACTATTGCACCTCCAAAACACTAAATGGGTGTGTCGTACATTATCAGGCAACACGATATATTCATCATACAATATTTATATATTTTTTATTCACTTTGTCTCAGAAAGTGAAGGTGTGCATTGAACATGGACAAAGTAGACCAAGGTGAACATTGACAGTTGTTGTTTACAGCTCCCCAATGTGTAGTTACATTTTCTTGGTTTTTGTTGTGAGTTCTTCAGTTCCTCCTACAGAGCTTAACAAACAAACCAAACCAAAATAATGTACTTATAGTCATATCAAGCTATGCAGATTTTAGTTTAGTTGAAAACTTACATTTGAGAAAGTACACAGCGACATCTCGTTCCAGAGACAATGTCCTGGTTATTCTGAATAATTCACAGGCTAAACAAAAACTGTTTCAACACTGTTCAAGTGTAATAGGAGCTTTATGTGTCTTGCTCAAAGGAACACAGGAAAGTAGATATATCTAGAAGAAAGCTATTCATTTTCCTTTCTAATGAGTGTGTTCCTAAACAGTTGAAAGATTTGAGCCTTACCATCAGAAACAATCTAAACTACCCTAAAATGAACTAACTGACAAAATTATTCAATTTACAGGACACTCAAATGTGAGACAAGTTTGTAAGAGTGGACAAGAGTTCAGCTTTGGTCCACGGGATATATGACTAGGACAGGTAAGTACCGGCATCTTTAACGCTGCAACTCTTTCAGGGTCCAGTGTCTGAGGTGGGTTGTGATTGTGTTGGCGAGTGTGTTTGCCATTTGAGAGAATGACAGGGCAAGCAGGCTGTGAACATTTACTATGTTGTATGACATGTAATTCAAAGTCACATTAGCTTCACTGCTCTGATTCGATTTGAAACTCTAATAAATATCCAACTGACAGACATCCTCTTAAATACAGAAACATAATCCATCAACAGGAGCTGACTGACGTCTCCGCTGTTTGTACTGCCTCGATCCTTTCACACCATATCTGACAAATGACAGGTAATGGTAATGGTGGATGTGTGAACTTTGTTTTTTCTTCAAAATGCTTTTTTTTGTTGTTGCATTTTTGATATCAGCAACATAAAGTTCGATATTCCCATCAAATATTTCTTATTAACACAACTTAGCCCTGCACAACTTGGTAACTACAGGGACATTAAATGGTATCAGACCAGATAATTCAAATAATCTAATTTTAAGATAATGTTGACGCTAAAACTCAAACTTAATCAACTTTACACTGTAGAGTGGGTTGTGTTTATATGTGTGTACTTACTGTGCAGTCTGTGGCATTTGTTATCTTCAAGCAGAAATCTGATGCAAACTCCAACTCCGACAGACACACTTTGTTACAGTCAATGGTCTGTTGAAAGTCAAAAACAGACATATCAGATGATGCACAACTTAAGACAAAGACAATATGAACTGTGGTCAAGCCATACAAAAAAACAAATCAATAAACAAACATGTAGTTGGTCTAGAGGGAATCTGAGGAGCAATTTGTTGCTCTTTGTTTTGGCTGGAGCATTCGGACCTTCTGACTCACAGAGAACAGGATCTGCAGTGCTTTTTTTTTTTACAAACAGCCCACTGCTCTATTACAGGAATTATAATCATTCTGGATCAAATGTCTCATAGTTCAACATAATATCTCCTTTCAGGCTACTAAACAGCTGCCACTGAAATATTTTATCAGTCTTACAGGACAGGTTTATTACAACTTGGGTTTTATTTTCCTCGTCTGGACCAGTGGTTCTATCAGTTATAATAACATTGCTAAAAATAGGTCCAGCAGGGAAACCCGAGTGGTCAGAGGACCAAACGGTTTGAAGTCCACAGTCAGTGCACTTGTAATGTCACTAATAACTCCTCAATGCACAGGAAAACGCTGAGTGTGCAAAACTACACCAGGCACAGTAAGTCAAAGTCTAGCCAGGAAGTCGGTCAGTAAATTGAGATGGATGCTAAAGGTAAGCCTCTTCCAAATAAGTCTGGCTAACCTTTTTTCTCAACTTGTCTGCCTGTTGTTTTTAATATTATGACCATGTTTCAAAATCTCAGCAACTACAACATTATTCTGATAGAACTGATAAGTAGAGGATTGCCTCTGATTGCCTTTTACTGGACGCAAATTTGAAAACGGTCAACGAGTTCAATGATAGTTGCTGCAAATCAGAAGACGATGAGATTCCATAAACATGAATTAGACAAAAGGTGTAGCACAGTAACAAGGAAACTAAATTCAAAAGTATAAACAAGCTGTCAAATTGCTTACATTGTGCTTAATGCTAAGATGAACAAAATATCACCGGACAAAGATCAACATTAAATCCACAAGAGTAAAAACAAGAATAGCAAAAATACACAAAAGCTACCCCAGCATTTAGGTTACTTGGAATATTGCATTAGATAACCTTTAGCTCCAGACAGCTATTTGGCTAAATTGGTTAACAGCAAGCTGGTCACAGAAAGCAAAATTCTACTATATCAACAACACTGCTGAAATAATAGAGTATCTACAGATAATCTGTGGCAGTTGTAGTTGCAGCTAACAACGGAAAACACATCTTTTAATTTCAATTGCACTGAAAACTATTAATGTTGCCTGTTGTCTTACATTTAGAGAACAGGATTTAAAGGAGAGGTTATCTCTGCAGCACTACAGCACTTCATTATAATGCTGTTTTGTCACACACTTGACCTTTATCAAAATAATTGCAGCTTTTGTGATTTGGATATTGCACTTGGCCATATTGCGAATTCAATAATATTCTGATTAATGGTTCAGCCCTATTTCAAAACTGCTAGAATTATGACTCTGGACATTAAACACATGATATAAAGGCAGATTTTAAAGCAGCTTCAAACTGTTGCAAGTTTAACATTCCCATCTGTTCTCACTGAGAAAAAAAAAGAACTCATTTGTTTTGCAGGAATTTATAATTCCATGAATGGGCTCTCAATTTTACGGAATAGCAGCCAGCCTTAATGGAATGTTATTGGATCGTATCAACGGGAGGCAATAGATGAGAGCCCATGTAATTTGGGCAGAGGGGCTGTCTATTTGTCACTGGAGGGGAGAAACTATCGATTAGAGGATTCAAATTCCATTATATCAAGCTCTCCCCTCATTCATCACATCCACAGATGGGTGGAGGACATGCTACTTAGCAAACAGACCAACTGGCGAAGAAACCCACGATGGTATGAGAGACAAGGGGGGTAAAGCATTCATACGCAGAAAGATTCAGAGGAGGTATCTGTGTTCTTAAATGTTGGACTGTGTGTGTATGTGTGTTTGCTTTATCTCTGTGTAATGTGTGTGCTCTCCCATCAGCCCAGTGAAAACCACTCTATCCACAGGGGGCTGAGAGTAATGAAGTTTCCTTAAGAGGAACTTAAACAAGGATTAGACAGATCAATCACCCAACGCTACAGCATCAGCACACACACACACACACCTTCAGGGCCCTATCTCTCTCTCCACAGCTAACTCCTGCTCTCATTCTCTGTCTATAGCCTAACAGCTTGGGCCCCACAAACTCTATTTCTCCTATTTGTAGCTTCCAAGATTGTTGTACATTAGGATCAGGCTGACATATTGGTTTGCCAATACGTCTAGCTGATACAGGTGTTAAGTATCCTATATTGGGTAGTAAGTGTCATCCACAGATGACAAAAGTGAGAACTGACTCTGATCACTGCTACAGTAAAACTGGAAACTGAAGGGTCTGCACTGAAAGTTTAGTTACCTCTGTCAAAAAGATTGAATACTTGTTTATTTGTTTATAATAATGACAGACTGTGTGTCAACTTTGAGCAACAAGTGCTATGCAAACACAGGTGCATTGTGAACTGTCAGAATCACCCTTCAAATGAAGGATGGATGCCTCTGCACAGATTGAATGTCTATGATTTGTAAGCAGAAAACACATTGGAACTAGTAATTTTACTTGCTGGAAAACACCATATTTATTTCCGGTGGATATTTCATCTCCTACTGTACATTCACATCTGGAACCTTTAAAAAAATATTACTTTTGGACTTCTAAAGCACTGTAGGTTGAACGTTGCTATACATAAACATGTTTACCTGTATGACTGTAGGTTCAGAGATGAGTGTGTCTGCTTTCACCACTTCTACCATAGCCTCAGGCACCACAGCCTTCTTCATGCATGCCATATTAAAGCCATACACATCATCCCAGAATGCAATGCGGTCTTGGTGCCTTTTTGTGTCTCCAACTGCTGCCAGACTGATGTTACAAAGGTCTGGATAGACTGTGGAGAAAAGAGAAGAACAAAGAAAGTCAACGACTGTTCATAAGTAAGGTAAATAATACGTACCACAATATTATTATTGCAGTCATTGTTTTACAAGTCAGCCTCAAGTCTGGACATTCAATATCAGCAGTCTGTAAACACCAGCACAAAACCGGTCGCAGCATCGACTGGGAGGCGGTCAAAGGTCGTCGCCCAGGAGTCAGGGGGGCATTCATCTCCAACACTAATGACCATCCTGGTTAGTGATAGGGATGATCATAGGTGGCACCAATAATTACATAAGCATTACTGTAGCCAAAGCAAGAACTTACCAGATGTTTGACATAAAATCCTGTCTAATCTGCTTTATTCAACTGCTGTTTTACCATTCTCTGGCTGATCTGGGAAAATCTGGTCAGTTTGCTTTGTTATGCTAGTAATGTGATAAAAAGGTCTGATTTCACCATTAAAAAGAGAAACCAGAAGAGAACATGAAAAAGTGGAGGCAGACAGAGGGAGGGTTAGAACAGCAGGGGAGACTACATGTGACATGCTACAGTAGCACACTCCTGGCAGTGCTGGTAGTGGTGTTAGCTGGCCTGCAGCCAGAGGAAGGGCCCTGTCACATAGCCTAAAAAAAGATTTTTGTCCGCAAAAATCCACAACCAGCACCAAAGCTTCATCCAGAGGTGATAGGAGCTGGACTCCTGGCTGGAAAATGCTGTCACTTTTGTCACTTCAGGTGACGGATTTTTGTAGCCATTACAGTTTCTGTCACTCTACCCACTCCACATCTGACTGTGGTCTGTAAGCATTTGGGTTCTACTACCAGTTCTATCAGGTCTATTGACAATGCACTTAAACTGAATGTTGTTAAAACCTCTAACAGTTAAACAGTGCACTACACTTTCAAAAGAGAGCACCAAACAAAGTCCATATTTTTGGAGGTCACTGCATCTCAAAATGCTGTTTCATTGTGCTCAAGTATGGCGGCCTGGTCAGCGATGAGTGAATCGCTTCAGGGATTTATTTTGCTCAAAACAAAAGATCGTTAATCATAACTAAAGGAAAGGCTGGGAGAATTCTGGTCCCATAAACTTCTATTCTCAGTGCTGAGACGTGCTTAATATCAACAAATTTAATGGCATGAAAACCATCCAAACAAATTTAATCAGAGAACGCCTTAACATCTTGTGGGTGTGGAGCTTTGCATCAATTTCATGAAGCTGCTGTAATGACTGTATCCATCACATGTGCACAAAATATGGGTTGATGGCCATTTTGTCCTACTTTTATACTTCTGGATATTTCACACTGTGTACACTAGATATACTGTAATGTAACATCCTCTGGAACCTAGCGGTTTGGATTTGCTCCCATTCAGCCACGAGAGCATCAGTGAGTTCATCCCAAAAGTGATGGATGGGGTTTAGGTCAGGGCTTTGTGCAGGCCGATCAAGTTCTTCCACACAGAACTGGGAAAATCATTTCTTAATGGACCCGGCCTTATGAACCCTTAACTTCTCGTGTTCAAACAGGAAATGGCCTTCACCCAAACTGTTGCTACTAAATTGGAGGCGCAGTATTATCTGAAATGAAATTATATGAACACATATCCAGACCAATAGTACACAAAAAGGATATGTAAATGTATGTCCACTTACATTTGACCTTATAGTTTATGACAGAAACCAAAAAGTGGATCAAATCACAGAAATAGACTGGTTGCATCCCCATATCATCATTGTTATGTGAAACAGATATACCAACTCTTAAGTGTATTTTCAATGGGTCAATGGGTTGGTCAAACCAGGCAGGTGTGCATCTCTTTATTAAGCCTTAAATAACCATAGCCAATTTAAGGCTCTTCACTGGCTCTCCAAGTTGACTTCTTTGAGCAGAAACAAAAGACAAAAGCAACAACAATTTCTCTCTCTCTCTCTCTCTCTCTCTCATTTATCAGCAGTGATAACTATGCTTTGGTTGTGAAGAATGTGGAAAAACAACCTTCTGATTTTTTATTTTTTTTTGCTGACTGAACCTGCAGCCTTGGACAAACTATTTTTCTTAGAAGATGGAAGATGTTGGCCAGTCACTGGGGAACTGTGTTTCTAGTTTAATTTTTCACTGCTTTGAAGACTGAGCATAGGCAGTGATTATTTTCGCCTTTCATATTACATAACACTGTCGATTGAATGAACATTATCCATGTCTTAAAATGAGCATTAAACGTGAGCCTTAATGTCTTTTTATTGAGTTTTCACATCTGAATAGATTCCTTTGTTTGGTTAATATGCTTGGTGATTAAGCCAGAGCTGAGATGCTTGAAGCCACTGGTATCCCTACTGTGAAGTAACATTAGCCGACACAGAGGCCTAGGGCCTAAACTAGAGTTTAGAATACACTCGTGAGAGTATATCAAACTTAATATTTTAACATACAACTTAGTGCCACTAGTGGTAATATAACAATTTGTCCTAATTAGAGATGTTCATAACAGGACAGTCAGACAGAGACATCCTCATGGTTAACTGTTATGGCAAATATACCCGAACATTGCATTGTGATAACTTCCTGTGAGGACTTAGAGCATAGAGCAAGGCAACCTCCCTAATGTGAACAGACTGAACATAGCTGGGCCATAACACTATTACCTGTGATACAAACACATGACGATATATCTGATGGTAGGAATAATGGTATAATATTACATATAGGAATATCACATTAAATCATTAATCTGGGCAGCCATTTGCAAGAGAAATTATAGTTACCAACAGCAATTGTTAACACCAAGCAGTTAGCAGATAGAGTTAGCAGGCAGTTAGCAGCTGCTTTAGCAGACAGCAACAGGAAAAAGCTAGCATCAGCCGCCAGTCTGTCAGCAAGTAAAACAACAAACACAATTTACAGAACTCGAAATTAAAGCTATATAAGGTAAAGGAATCAGGCACAAGATAGGAGCATAAAGTTACAGAAAGTCCTTGGCAGCAGCAGAAATAGTAAACAGTTAGCAGGCAGCCATAACAAACTCTTACAGCATTTAGCAGTAGCTTTAGCAGTTAGCAATAGCTTGTTGGAGTCCATAAAACTCATATTCCTGTCTGAACAAAGTTCCATTTATTGTCTTACCACATTCTATGTCTAGATCTAGCTAACAAGCTGATCAGTTTCCTCTCAAACACAGCTTGAAGCTTTCATTGTGTAAGCACTGAAATAGGGTTAGTGTATCTATATTTAG